TCAGTGTTTTTGGTTTGATTATATTATTGAATTAAATGTATTATTATTATATTATTATTTTTTATGATTATTTATTAAATTATAATTTATGATTTTGTGTTTCAAATTTTATCATACCCGGGATGTTTAATACACTCTTGTTCGGACAGATTTCAGTGAGTTATTCCTAAAAATTACAGCCTACAATAAAAAAACTACATATTTCCATGCAAAATAATGGTACCGCTTTCAGCACCAAAAATCTGAAATAATCAGACCGCTAGGGAGGTTAAATCAGTATTCAGGAAGTGTCTATAAATCAGCATGATCTGTGATAAGTGCTCCCCCACCACCAAACACAGCCTCTTACCTGAACAATGGACCCAGGTTATAGGAGGTCTATACAGGCATATAGCGGTGGTAATCCATTCTGGTATCACGCATGCAGTGTTTCCTCTTTATAGAAGGCACTCAAATACAAGAAAAGGTCTCCATAGTGAAGTTCCGCAATAACGTATTAAATGAAAACCAAAACAATTCTACTCACAAAATGATCCATCAAAAATCACATTCAGACAGAACACCGCTGGTGCTGGCCCCAGCAAGCAAAGGTGATGTCAGCATAGACTCCTCCTCCCCTGCATTGTTTTCTGTTGAGCTCTTCTCCGAATAATGTTCCAATATTGGGCCTTGTGAGTCCCTAAAATCTCAGAGTTTTGAATTTCCTCTTGACCGGTGATTCCGTGTGTTTCCCTTCCATACTCTGGTATTTGCTTTCCAGTTCAAAGTGATGGATCCACATTATATCTCCAGCAATTATTCTTTACTAAAAAACTTTTTTAGCATAGCAATCTAGTAAGCGCTGACAGATGGCCAGACGATTGTGCTTGCGCTCTTCGGTGAGCCTTTTCAGGACTTATTCTGCACGAACTTCATTTCAAGCTTGTTATGGATACTCTCTCAGAACTAATTTGCATATAATGTGCAGCTTCATTGATAGTTATTGGTTGGTTCGTCAGGATCTTTGCATGGGCTTGCTTAATGTTGTTGTCAGTAGTGGATGTGGATGGGTGTCCTGCTCCTTCTGCGTTCTTAACGCTTCTTTGACTGTTACTGCACTTCTCAATCTATTCGTAAATATTCCCCATGGCAAAATGCTGTTTCCATATTGTGATGAAAGATGGATTTTGTCTCCTAATACACATTCAGATCACAAAAATGGATCACTGTTCACTGTTCTTCTTTTGGTGGAAACAGAGAGTGGCACGGCCATGTTTACTGTGCAATAGTGCCAATGGAAACTGAGTGATGAAGGTCAAAGCAATAGCAAAGGCGACATCTCTCAACGTGAACACAGAAATCAGTACAGCCAACCTATAGATCAATATAGTAAAAGTGCAGATAATTAATTACTCATCCTTGCATATCAGCTCCTTTGTGCTTTAGGGAGTAAACAAAATCCACTATTTAAAGGAAACGTGTCTCTTTATTCTTTTTGTATTGCTCTATATCGTTCACTCTATGTTGGTGAGGCGAGATATAGTTAACCTTGAATTGGCCGTGATTTATGTCTTGCCTTAACTGCCAATTGTTACGGCATTATTTGTCATTTTGTTGTTTCTATTCGTATGTACGATGGAACATTGTTTATTAATATTGCTGGTTTTACTTGTGTTTTTTTTCTTTAAAAAACGTATTCATTAACAAATATTGAAAAGTAAAGGAATCTTGTTATGGGAATAGTATGGAGGCTGCCATTGCTGAACTTTTCTGTAAATGCTAGGTGGCTGTCAAGCTGATATTCTGGCTTCATTGCTTTGAATGATAGGCCCATAACAGATAAAGAGTTATGACTGCTCTTTAATTTTTATAGGAATCATTGATTGAAAGTATTGAAGGGACAGGGTCAGCATAACAGCCGGACAACTAGCATTTACAGAAGGTCAACAAATAAAGCCAATGTCTTTGCTTCATGCTACTTTAAAGAGGGATATTTCTTTCAACCTTTAAGAACATTGTGATCCTACAGATACAATGAACATATGTAAATTGTACAGCTTGTATGAAATGTAAAGACTATGGTGCATATGTATGAAGTGACAAATTAATGATTCACTACAGATCCCCATAGTTGCAAAGTAATTCACCACTGACACATTTGCTTTATCGGGTTACATTCACTGCTATTTCCCACACTTCTGCATTTCTCATTTTTTAATTGAATATCCAGATCTCAGTAACATTTCCATATTTGTAACATGGTGAAAGTTACAGTCACAAAGCCCAATTATCTTCTGTACATTTGTTACTTTTTGTACATAAAAAATAAATACATTTCTTTACTTTCCTAAGGAACAGGGATCAGCAAGATTAAGATCTCTCATTTTTCTAAAATGCTGCCAAAAATCTGGAGATTTCTGTGAAATGTAACCATTTTGGATTTAATTAGGAAAGGCAAATTTAAGGTGGTTTTTGGCTGTCTTTAGGACCCTATTCCCCTGGGTTACAGCTTTACAAAATGAAGGTAGACATAACAGTTACAATACAATTTGGTACAAGAGGAAACAGAGGGCCCTTCTCATTAGAGCTTACAATCTAGGAGGAAAGGTTGAGTGATACAAAAGGTAATAGCTGTGGGGGATGAGCTGATGGAGGAAATAAAAGGCAGTTTACAAGTTAGAAGCAGGATAGGCTACTTTAAAGAGAATGGTTTTCAGGGATCGTCTTAAGGTGGATTGATTAGGAGATAATCGGACAGATTGGGGTAGGGAGTTCCTTAGGATGGGAGAAGCTCGAGAGAAGTCCTGGAGACGAGCATGGTAGGAGGTGACACGGGAACTAGAGAGCACAAGGTCTTGAGAGGATCGAAAAGAGTGGTTTGGTAGATAATTTGAGACCAGGTTAGTGATGTAGCTGGGGGCAGAGTTGTGGATGGCTTTGTAAGTTGTTGTTAATATTTTGAATTTTATTTTTTTGGCGAGTGGAAGCCAGTGGAGGGATTGGCAGAGAGGGGTAGCAGACACTGAATGGTTGGTAAGGTGGATGAGCCTGGCAGCAGTATTCATGATGGACTGGAGGGGGGATAGCCTATGTAAAGGTAAGCCAATGAGGAGCGAGTTGCAGTAGTCAAGGTGAGAGATAACCAGGGAGTGAATTAGGAGCTTTGTGGTATCATTCGTTACAAAGGGGCATATGTTGGAGATGTTGCAGAGGTTGAAGCAGCATGATTTGGACAGGGATTGGATGTGGGTTTGAAAGGATAGTTCAGAATCCAGGGTTACCCCTAGCACTCTGGCATGCAGGAATGAGTTGATAGTGGTGCTATTGATCCTGACCAAGAAATCAGGAGAAGAGGCACATGGGGGAGGAAATATTATGAGCTCAGTTTTGGATAGATTGAGTTTTAAGGAAGTGGTGTGATATCCAGTCTGATATGTCTGTTAGTAAATTGTGATACGTGAGGAAACTGATGGGGTGAGTTGAGGAGTAGAGAGATAGATTTATGTGTCATCGGCATGGAAACCATGGGAAGCTACCAACTGACCCATGGAAGAGGCGGATGACATTGGCCCACCTGAGGTGTGGGGTCTAAGTACTAACTGATGTTCAGGAGAGCTCCTAATGATGGAGATGGATTTAACTGCATGCTAGTACCAAGCCACGGTCATCAGGATTGCCACACCAGGAGGAGAGCAAGCTGGGATCCAGTAGCAGATATAGCAGTTGGGGATAAGCATAAGTGTAGTGAGTAAACAAGCCAAAGCGGTTGCAGGTTGGGATCAAGAAGAAGTGTGGTGGAAGAACAAGCCAAGAGTTGGTAACAAATGTTAGCGATGATACGGATGGCAGCAGAAGAGACTGAAGCAAGATATTAGCTAGAAAGAGCACAATCATTTTGCCATGAGGTAGTGCAGAGACATGGCTTAAATCAGGACGTTCATGAGAGGAGCAAAAACTTCAAAGTTCAAGACAAACAAGGTTCAAGACAGGATCATTCAAGGAATTGTCCAGGGCACTGTCCAGCATGTCAGGTGGCTCTGCAAGAAGAGTTGTTGCCAGACACAGCAGAGGTCCTGTGTTTTTTCCAGGCCCTGACAGTAATGTGTACACAAGGGTTTTGTAAAGTATTTGCAAAGTTTTATTTTTACTTTGGGGCATTGTCTCATCAACTGCTATACCCTTCCTCCATACAGGATTAAGAGTAGTCAAAAATCTCTTTGCAGCTTAGGTAATAAACAACCAAAAAGGCTGCAGTGTTATAAGAACACATGAATGTAAAACTAGATTCAGACAAATGTACATTTTGACTGGTTCTCTTTTAAGTCCACCTAAAACTGTTTTTAGTCATTGTTAAAGTGGGTAAGTATCAGAACTGTTCACTGTTTATTTCGGTCTGTGTCTTTAATGAGGAGATTTTCCTCATCTGAGACAAACGCTATCATGGTTCACCCAGAAACCTCAAAATAGATGGGCAGAGATCAAATTAAGTTACATTCACCCAATCCACACGTTTCCCTTACTGCGCCCCCTTCATTACACACCTCCTCTCTCTCCCCTTCCTCCATTGCTAGAGCCTATGAAATTTACCCTCAAGGTCTGGTCAGCTTGTGTGAAATTGCAGCAATTACTGTCCATGTGTTCTCCACTGTTGAACATATTGTATAATCCAGAGCTCCCAGCAAGTTTGTCCTACTCACAGATGAACCCTTGAGCATTTAATGAAATATTCCAACTCTGCCATCTGGTCAATCCTGTTTCACGCAGAATTTAATAATTTGAGGGGATTAGGGCATGGAAATCCACAATACCTGTATCGGCCAGATACACTTACCTGCAGTTTCGTCATTTCTTCCGCTCCCTGAACTCCTCCTTAACGTTAGATCGCTCTACAGACTGAGAGGATAGCTATTAAGGGTCCCTCCCAGCAGCATCTTATCACCTCTCTATATAGACTGCTTCTCATTAAAGAGTCTACAGTTGAGAGACCCCATCCTTATATGAGGAGATGGGAGGATGAATTCCAATGTTCAATTTCTTTGAAGTGTTGGCAGGTGATATGGGATTCTGCTGCTAAGACCTCTCGCTGTGTTGTATACAAAGAAAACTTATACAAAGTGATGCTGCATTGGTATAAGACCCCTGTAGTGCTCCATGCAATTACCCAAATCTGTCTGATAAGTGATGGAGATGCATGGGAGGAGTAGGTACACTGGCGCACATTTTTTGGTACTGTCCACAGATTGTGGGTTATTGGGCTATGGTTCAAACGGTATTGGAACAAGTACTTAATGTTGTCTTTCCCCTAGACCCATTACACTATCTTCTGGGCTTACCCTTCAGGGGTATCCCCAAACAATCTAACAGGTTGGGAGTACATATTCTGACAGCCAACAGAAGGGTGATACCAGGATTTTGGAAATTAGCAGATGTCCCCTCGCAAAATCACCTTTTAAGAGCGATTAGGGAAATTGAATATCTTACAGCTCTAGTGGGTGAATATCCAGGTCAATTCCACTCTATTTGGGGGTCAATGTGATCACTCTCCCTTTGCTAAGCCTTCTTCCTCTCCCCCTCTCCCCCCTCCTCTTATATAGTATTGACACTTTTTTAAATTAAATGAATGGGCTGCAAAATCGCATCGCTGCATTACGCAGGGACACAGGCCATCTACTCCCTTTAGCTAATGAAGCAGCAGCTGAGGGTGCACACATTCCGAGGCAGGAGTTATACCCCATTGCTTTTAGTGGGTGCAACACCCATCGAACGAGACTCATCAAAGTGAATGTTGCCAGTCTGCAGGTGCAATGCATGCAGTTGCAGCGTGCCAGTGCAGGGTGCAGGCAGGGCTGGTGCTACCACTAGGCAAACTAGGCTGCCACCTAGGGCACACTGCCACCTAAGGTGCACTTCCACCTAGATTTCAGTTGTGCCGCCAGGCCAGTCTTTTCATGGATGCTGTGCCTGATTGCTGTGTACAGGCCAATCCAAGAGCAATCCTGTGTCACCTGCTGTATGGAGGATCGCTGCACTGACAGTGAGAGCACAGCACGATCCACACCTCTACCTGATTTCCCACCTTAGAGTTCGGGGGGAAGGGGAAGGCTACAGACTGGGATATATGTACACAAAAAAAGGAGGGGGGGAGGGGTTACAATCATTTGTACTGAGATTAGAGGTTTGTGCAGGGGGGGAGGGGCTATTTGTGTTTGGAAAGGTAATGGGGATGATAGGGGGGTGCATTTGTGCTAGGAGAAGGAATGGGGGGATATGTGCTAGAAGTAAAATGGAACTTTGGGGGGTTGGGTGGAATTTGTGCTAAAAAGGGGGTGGGGGGGGGATTTTTTAGCTAGGATTTTCTTAGACACTCCCAGCTTTTAAGTCTTCACCCCCACCATCACAGAAATCAGCTCTCAGTCCCTCGCACATGTGTGGTCCACTATCTCCTCCATCTTGGCATCTCAGAGCTATTGCGACAGGGAGAGAGAAACACATGCAAGGGGCTTTGAATCAACTGAGAGTGTCTTAGCAACATCCTAGCAACAAGGAAGTACAAGGAAGGAAGTACCTTGGTACTGTATGTAAATGGCCTACATCTATAGCAAGGGCGTAGTTTCACTTTGGTCAAAGTTGCACAGTTTGCTTTTATCAACAGGTGCCCCTTACCTGCATAGGCAGTTTTTTGGTGAAGGTGAACTAATCGTTTAAATTAGCAGCTTAATGGCTAAACAATGATTTCTGTAAAACATGAGAGGTCCCTGTGCAGATTTATTATGTGTAGGGCCTGTTGGCTTTAGTATTGGCATGTAGATGCATACAATAACATGTTAAAAAAATGTTTAACATACAGATCAGAGGGCGTTATTTATATAGGAAGAAATGTTTGAAAAGACACTCAAAATTAGTATCTTCTTGCAAGCCATATAGCAGTTATTTTTGACACGTATGACAACTAAACAGCTTTTGATTTGGACTCATTAAGATTTTCTTTATTAATGTGCTGCAGAAATCCCCGTTGGCTTTTATCCATGTAAGGCACACAGTACTATCAGAATTAAAAGAATGAATTGTCTTTGTGAAGTATAACAGTAGAAGCCATTGTAGCGACACCTGAGCCTCCTGTGTTTCTGCTGACCAACCAGTGTATATATCATTTCCACCATTTCAGTGCTTGTCTGGGCCATCATTTCAGTTTAGCTTAGAAGTGGCATAAACAAATAAGACAAATGTCAAGTAGTTTTCAGAATGCCATAATAACCTAAGGTGGATTTAGTACACTTGGATGTATCTTTGTTCTTAAATCAGCTGTTAATCTCCAAGGAGACTGAATAGTATCTTGCAAACTGACACATTAGATTATTGTGATTGTCCAAACACTTTTTTTATTTATGTATGTGTATGTGTGAGTAATTTAGTTGCCATAATATAAACCAGCCTTTCTCAACCAGGATGCCATGGAACCCTTGGGTTCCTCCAGAGGTTGCCAGGGGTTCCTTGGGCAATGAGCAATTTCTGACACCACTGATCTTTATAGCCATCAATAAGGAGGAGATTCTTACCAATGGCCATAAATGTAAGGAACATTCTTCCTACTGACCATCACGCTAATGTACCACAAGTTGTAGATTATTGTCAGGGATTCCTTGAGACCATAAAGTTATTTTAAAGATTCTCCTAGCTAAAAACATTAAGAAAGCTGTTAAGAAAACGTTAAGTAAACCCTAGTGGTCCATGCAGCTGTTATAGGGTCCTCTAGAATTGAGGGCCTAGGTGGATCTACAAAGAAATGCAGCTGCTTTGTAAAAGATGTGGCTGCAATTTTCATCTCCCTCAAGTTCTATGTTGGTAGTTATAGAGCGGCCAGAAGACAATAATTGTGAATATGTTGGTGCTTGAACAGGCACGAACAAAAAGCTTTCTTGCTTTAATAATTTTTATTACATTTCATCTTGGGTTGCTGTAATAATTCAGTGTAAATGTATATATGTAAAGAAATTCTAGAAGAAGGGGTAAAATTGCTTTTGCTCTGCAGGAACAGGCTGTTTCTAGACAGTATATTTTTTTTAGTGTTTCTTTTATGCAAATCTAATGTCGTTTCTGTCTCCAGAAGAGAACCTGTGTAAATGTTTAGTATGAACAGGTGAGGAGAGAGGGAAGTGAGAAATGTTGTCTACCCTGGCGCATTGCTATTTGAGAAGTGGAGAGTCAGCAAATGGCCAAACATTTGTGGTAAGTTGCATTTTGACTTTTGTAAAATGGGGTAGGAAACGTTTTGGTTGTGGAGAGGAGGTTAAGTTTTGGTAGTGCGGAGAAACTAGGAAGATGCTTCATCGAGAGTAAGACAAGGCCTTCAGTATTAGTTGTACAACAGTGAAGGTATAGCCTTATTTCCGGTATGCAGTTATCCTCTAAAAAAGACATATTGGTAGGGGCATAGAGCAAAATCCCTGTCACCTGTTAAATCCAAGGGTTTGGGATAATGGTTGACAATACAAGGCAAAGTGTTCACGTAATGTTACATATCCAAGCTTGTCTTTAAGCTCATCCATCAACGCTTTTCCTAACCCCATCCACATCATCCTTCGATAAGCACTTTTCAGTGCACCTTTATCAATTAAGATAGAAAGGTCAGTTCTAAGCAGCTGGTAGTAATAAGGCTCAACAGGCAGTTGGATAGGGACAGGTCAGGGAGAGAAAGCCTTTACCAACTGGAATATACATCCCCACCAAATGATACATTAAAACTAAAATTGGGTGGACCAGTCACTGAGAGCACAGAGCCGAGGCAGGGGTGACTGGTCTCCTCCATTACAGGGGTGGACTGACCATTTGGAAATTTGGGCACTGCCTGAGGGCCCGGGGTCAGTATTGGGCCCCATGAGATGCGCCTGGTACCTTTTTCATAGGCTTTTTTTTGAGTTTGGGCAAGGACACAGGGGCCCCATGATCCCATATTGCCCGGGGGCCCCATGAGTTGTCAGTCCGCCCCTGCTCCATTTGATCACATTACTCGGATAGGGAACTTTGAGGAATGATTTCTACACAACTGGTGATCAGTTTTACCAAGTGAGGGCACCATGCACCATGTGACTCTATGGATTTCTATGACTGAGTTAACCAGGATACTGTTTAGAATCTGGTTCAACATGTGACAAAAAAATCTGTTTGTCTCTGGGTTACTTGGGGACCAGAATGTTCACCAGAATTACACCTTTGTATGTTACTCAACCACTCTGATAAAGTAAATATGTGTTAAAGACAAATTTGTAAATTAGTAACGGAATTGTGACTAATGTATTTTAGTTTTAAATCTGTGCTGTGGAGCTAATAAAATTTACCAAGCTAATTTTGGTTCATGTGGTGGCAAGTTGGTTTGCATTCTGCTAAATGTCAGGGTCATAAAGGCCTCTGGAAAAATGTAAAAAAAACTCCAGCACCTTGGAAATACTGAAACATGGGTCACTGAGCAAGAGCAAAGCCCTGCTTAGAGACATGGGTTGTCATTATCTATTATTAGTAGTGACTTGCCTTATTTTTATGAATAGTATATTGTTTCACAGTTCTAATTCCCTCTTTCTGAATTATAAGCAATGCCAGATTTAGAGCATGTGCAGTAATTTTATACAGACAGCTGATATTTAATAATTTCTAATTTCCTTGCACAATAAGAATTCATCCATGCAACCCATACATACACTTAGCATACATATATGAGTGATTTATATCTCTTTCTCCAGTTTTCTCTGCAGATCCTCAACTACTCAGCTGATTTGAAGCTGCCTTTCAAGAGAATTTCAATGCAGAGAATCACTTAAAATATTGCAGAAGGAACATTGCAAAGAGAACTATACATTGCAAGTATTCATCTACGCCTTTCTCTAGCATACACACACAATTCCCTACTGCAAAGTACCCACCGCACACATAACCGACAACCGCACTGTACCACATAGCGTCACCAAGCATGATTCAGTGGTAATACACAGACTAGGCATCCTGCTTTTGAAAATAGTGATGCTGAACTATGGCAGTGATAATAGAGAAGGGAAACATTTGCTGAGTAAAAGTTCTGGTTCCCTATCATGTTTCAACAACAATGCACAAGTCATTACAGTTTCTGAATATTTAATGCACCCTGCTACCACTCCTCTGTGACTTTTTATTCATTATATATAAGACTAGCATGCACTTTTTACTGTACATGTAAATCGTATCTAAACCCAGAACAAAATGTAATAAATTGGAACCTACCAGTCTTTAGATTTGGTGGCTGCATTAGCTTTCCTTAAGTTTCACCTGGCAATGCTGCCAGTAACACATTTTCTGTCCCTGGGTGACCATGTTCACTCACTGTACTGTGTCTATGGAGGAGCAGAGATGTCACCCTAGGGCGCCAGTCGGCAACTAGTCGCTCACAAGCTACTTGTCGACCACTGGCAGGTGACTGGTAGCTTGCGAACACATCCCTTTCTTGCTGACCCAGCACTTTCTACAGAGCGGCGCAGGCCTCCACTTAGCCAATCCTATCTAGCAGAAGCAGCCCCTGCCTCTTGCATGCGTGTGACTGTGGGGTTGGAAAAGCCCTCGTTTTAGCTTAGGTGGGTTTGGGTTCTTGTACAAACATGCCTGAACTCTTTCCCTGAGTCCTGTGTGTAGTGAGCTCATTCCCACTGGCTTGCTTCCTTTCCAATACATACAAGGCACTTGTGAGATGGACGGGCATGGAGGGCTAGCAGGGATCAGTGCCAGAAAATGTAGATAGACCACAACAGCTTCCACTCTGCATCTGGTAACAACTTCTGTACCCTCCTGACACCACAGTACTATTCCCTACTGGCCCCCAATACCAGACTCTTCTGAACCCCCAATACCATGCCCTTCTGACCACCCCAATACCATACTCTTCTGACCCCCAATACCATGCCCTCCTAACACCCTAACCCTCCTGATCTCTCAGTACCATATCCTCCTGACCCGCCAGTGCCTTGCCCTCCTGACCCTCCAATACCATACCCTCCTATCCCCCCAGTATCATGTTCTCCTGACAGCCTAGCCCTCCTGATTCCCCTGTACCATTCACTCATGGCCCCCAATACCATACCTTCCTGAACCCCAAGTTCTGTGCCCTCCTGACCCCAGAGTACTATTCCCCCTGACCCCCCCCAATACCATACCCTCCTGACGCCTACAATACCATACCCTCCTGACACCCCAGTACTGTGCCACCCTGACCTCCCTGTACTCTGCCCTCCTTAATCCCCAGTACTGTGCTCACCTGACATACCCCCCACACCATGTGCTCCTGACCCCTTAGTACTATCTCCTCCTGATCCCCTGTCTCTGCCCTACTGATCCTCTGTCCTCTGCCCTATTGATCTCTATACACTGCTCTTCATACTGTTGACCTCTGTATACTTCTCTTCATTCTACTGTCCTCTACACACCGCCCTAAATCCTATTGACCTCTGCACACAGCCCTACGTCCTACTGACCTCTGTACACTGCCCTACATCCTACTGACCTCTGCGCACTGTCCTACATCCTACTGACCTTTGCACACTGCCCTAAATCCTACTGTCCTCTGTACACTGCCCTAAATACTACTGACCCCTGTACTCTTCCTTACATCCTACTGACCTCTGTACAGTGCCTTACCTACTACTAACACCTGGACACTGCCCTACATCCTACTGACCTCTGCACACTCTCTTACATCCTACTACGGACCTCTGTAAACTGCCATACATCCTACTGACCCCTGTACTCTGCCCTACATCCTACTGACCACTGTACAGTGCCCTACCTACTACTAACCCCTGGACACTGCTCTACATCCTACTAACCTCTGTACAGTGCCCTACCTACTACTAACCCCTGGACAGTACCCTACATACTACTGACCTGTTTACACTGCCCCACATCCTACTGATCTCTGTACTCTGCCCTAGCTACTACTGACTTCTGTACACTGCTCTGCTTAGTGATGACCTCTGTACACTGCCCTACCTTCTACTGACTTCTGAACACTGCCCTACATACCTGCTACCCTCTGTACACTGCCTACTACTAACACCTGGACACTGCCCTACATACTACTTACACAGGCCAAAAACACTGTTCAACAGGTAAAAAGTTTTGGGCATAAAATTAGCTAATCTTACATAATTTTGGGGTGCTGAAAACGAAAATGACCCTAAAAAATGTTGATTGGCTCTAGTTTCTATGATATATTCACCCATCTAATGATGTAAGCCATTCAAAATTATGATGCAACTTCAGCTGCATATTGCGCAATTGATACTGGTGACCAATAGAAAATTGCATGTATAATGAGATGATGCAATATTAGCCTTTAATTGCATCACTTCACTGCATAAAAGCTGCAGTATCTGTAGCTGATTGTAGTTCGACAGCGTCTTTACATTTCGTTTTATGCTTATATAGGCTACTCAGTAATGCCTCGAACTTGTGTGAATAAAGCAGATAATTTCTGCTATATCTGCGGTGAAATAACTTTTATCTCACAAAAAAGGAGGATAACAGGAATGATTAAGAAAGCCTACAACTTGTATTTTGGCTGCAAGATAGGAGACCAGGACAAGAGCTGGGCACCACATATATGCTGCAATTATTGTGGGACGGCACTGGAGCAATGGTTGAATGGAAAAAAGGCATCTATGCCTTTCGCTGTGCCAATGATTTGGAGAGAGCCAACAGATCATGTTAGTAATTGTTACTTTTGTATGGTGCCTCCAATTGTAAAAGGGCTAAATAAGAAGAAAAAGTTATCTGTGCACTATCCAAATATTCCATCGGCAATACGTCCAGTTCCTCATGGAGAGGGGCTACCAATTCCTAAAGCACCAGAATCCTTCGTGGTTGAGTCAAGTGAGGAAGAACCTGAAGCGTGTAGTCACGTGCAGTTGTAAGAGATAGCCCTTTCCTCGAATACAAGAGAAAAGCCAAGAGAAGCAAAACCGACACAAACTGAAGACAAAACTAGTGAGAATCCTAAGTATTAAAATGATTCAACTTAGCTTATGGCTATAATTTTTCTTGGTAATCCTATGCAATATATTATGCCATTTAGACTTTGTTATGTAGTCAATATCACTTGCTTTATATTTGTGGAAAGACATCTATCTATATAATTATTGTGTATTATGTAGTCATTACGCCTATAGTAGAAAACTTTCCGTTTACAGAAAAACTAGAGCCAATTGACAAATTTCATTGTTATATTTGAACTCAGAATGTGAAATTCATTAAGAAATGGATCTTTTTGTTTCCAAAACTGGCAAAAAATAAAAATTTGTTGAACAGTGAAATCGGAGCTGATAGCCATGCCCGGAAACTAGTAGAGCAAATCAGCCTGCAGTACCAGATGTTCTGCTTTCATGATGGACACCAACATCAGCCTTGTGGGGGTGACCAATTACTCTAAAGACATGAAAAAAATTGCGAATAAAACATATGCCAAGTTTCTCACTGAAGCTAAATTTTAAGGTAGGATAAGTTTATATTTTTATAGTGACAATAGTTTTATTGGATTTTTCTATGTTTTTTTCATGCCTTCTTTATGTTTTATTGGGGGTTTGCTAGTTATTTTCTTTAAAAAAAAAAAAAAGGGCACAGCACCCCGGTAATCTTTGATCTCCTTCATGCTGTCAAGGTAGATCTCCACCTCTCAAAGGTTGCCCACCCCTGCCCTAGGGTGATCTGATTTTTGACTACAAATACCCTGCTTGTTCTCATCACCATTACAGAATCAAGAAGCATATGGAGCACACAGAATATCAATGAGAAAGTTAGTAACATTGTTTAAGATATCAGTGTATTATACAGGAAATTACAGGAACACTGGATTTATGGTAGGATCAAGAGGCATTTTCCTTACTTGCAGAATGTGTATTTGGCTTGAAAAAAATGGAAACCAATGCAGCCATCAAATCTAAGGGCTGCTAACCTGCAATACATTACCTTTTTGTTCT